AATATTTATTAATTAATAAATTTAAATTAATTAATAAATTAATATTTTTAAATATTATTTAAAAAAATAAAAAATTAATAACATTAATATTTTTTATAATGCAATAACTACACACATATAACAAAACATCCTTGGTTCTCACTTTTTTTTTTTTGTTTGCATTTGGATTTTCAATCCGAAGTGATTTAAAAAAAGGATATATTTGGATTAAAAAGACTAAATTAACTCTAATAAATTAATATGAATGTTTACTATGAAAAATATTTTTATATTTTTATATTTGAACCATCAATTTTTTAATATGTTTGGATTGAAATAAACATTTCTGTAAAAAAAAACTGTTAATTTTGAGAAAATTTCCCTTGTTTTTTCTCTCCATAAATATAAATTAATCCAATCGTGAGGGAAATCAATATATAATTTTAAAACTTCTTGAAATTTCTTCAATGAGAATATACATTTATCTGGTTTTACTTTTACTACCCAATAATAACGGCGATCTGGTAGAAACATGCCTCAGGTCATATCAAATCCAAGTCTCAGCTATCAGGTACTTCCTTGTTAGTTTGCAAAAGCTCCAGCGAAAGTATCAATAATTTAATCACAGAGACTAGCTATGGTTGCTCATCAATTAATGAGCAGTACTTGTCTGCATAATATGCAAGGGGTTATTGCTTCCTGGACTTTTATTAAAGATCATTTAAAAATAAAAGTATAAGGATGTTTATTTTGATTAATTTTATTAATTTATAAATTTACAGATGTTATAATATTTAAAAATATTAATTTATAAACTAATTTTAATTTATTTAATAATAAATATTAATTATTTATTAATTAATAATTATAATTATTAATTATTGTTAAGGCTGTGTGGTATAACCACTCCCATATGGAAGATATAATTAAGATCAGGTACTTGTAATTTCAAGTGGTTTATAATTTTAAAACTTAATTTTATTGGTCTTATAATTTTAAAACAATAACATATAGTCTTTACATATTAATTATTAACTATCAATTTTAACTTAACATTATTTTATTTGGTTTAGATAATTATGGTATATATACATTTATTTCTCACTTCTCAAGATTTTTTTTTTTAATATGAAAGAATTTGGGGCATGAAAGATTTTCTTTTAAATCATTAGTAAAAATCAAATTTTTAACCAATTAAATCTAAATATTAAAGTTTAAGAACAAACCATTGAATCAAAAAATTAATTATCTCAAGACTAATTTTTCTATGAGGATACCTTAAAATGCATTCTAACATCTAATTAATATATTTTAAAAAATTAATTTTTTTTATATGGTAACTTAAAAGGTTCAACCGTACATTAAGGTCCTTATAACATTAAAGAGTCAAGGATACAGCCACCTAGACTATTTCAATTTATTTATTTATTCCTAATAAATAATTTTAAGAACTGACGCCGACCAGACCTCGTCAACGTCAACGAGAGAACGCCGGTAAGGGAGCACGACGCTTCCTCGATATTCTCCTATGGTTCTTACGGACGATGTATCATGTATGATATGAATATGTCTATGACTCTACATGTACATATAGAGGCACGTACGCAGTGGGGGCAAGGGCCGCAAGGGACAATTTGACGGTTGGTTGAGCAACGGCGTCCCGGTCGGCACTGGTGGTGAAAGTATCAGGTGACGTTGATCACTGTTCGGCTTTTTGTGGTGGTCGCTGTCGTGGGCGCACGGTGGAGAAACGGCATACGCAATGAACCAGCCCCACCCTGCTTAATTTTCTAAGGAAAAACGGTTATGGTGTATGAAAGTGTGGTGGATGCAGTAGGACGGAATGGCAGGCGGTGTAAATTCGGAAGTTGAAAAGGGACAAGTGGGGGCATAAAAAGACGACGGAATATCACTGTCTTGCTGCAGCAGCTGCATCTCTCTCAATTCTACTTGCCATGCTGTGTTGAGTGTGACTAATGATTCATTAGTTAGGAAAATATACTAGCGACACTTTTTTTTAACTAATTATCGTTGATATTATGTTGTTGTGATTTTTAATAGAAATTTTTTTCATAGTCTTAGTTAGGTCAATATGTTAAAAAAAATATATTTAAGGAATTAATTAAATAATTTTTAAAAATTAATATAGAAGGAGGATTTATTAAGAGTAAGTAATAATTATTAACAAATTTAAAATTAAAAACAAAAAAGTATTTTTAAATTAAATTACATATTAAAAATGTAATTTAAATACTAAAATTACTAAAATATCTTCAATAAAATACATGAGATTCAATTAGGAATTACTACTAATTATGAAAAAGGAGAAAAGATGCATGTAAGAATACAAATTTTGTAATTTTTCCAATTTTAAATTAAGTGGTAAACTTTTATTTTTTTAAAAAAATTATATTTTTTTTAAAAATTTATTGGATAACAATGATTACATGATAAACAACAATCTTAATCGAAATAAGGTAAGATTCATATCTTTAAATAAAAATAATAAAATTCATATTTTTAAATAAAAAATAAAAATTTACCATCTAATCTAAAAACTTAAAAAGTTTATATTTTCGAATAAAAAAGTAACAAAATTCATAATCTTATTTAAACATTTCTCTACAAAGAAATTATGCGACTTGTGATTTAATAACAAAGCAAGTATATATAGAGAAGAACATTAATTGCTGGCACTTTTCATTTATTACTAAACAAAAAAAAATATTAAAATGCGGTCTAACTATTAAAATGATTAAAATATTATTAATAAAATTTTATTAATGATATTTTAGATTAATATTATTTTAATTATTTCAGTATCTAACTAAATTGTATTCTCATTATGTAATTAAAAAAACATGAGACTCATATAAAAAATCAAAAATACTAATTTATATTTTTTTTTTAAAAATTGAGATATTTGAATTTATAATTTTTTAAACCTCAAACTATATTTATTTTTTCTAAAAAACCAATGAAAATTGAATCTGGTGCAATTTACAAACCTAAGATTTTAAGAAGCATATTCAAGCACAGTTGGAGTTTCAATGAGCCATGAAAGTTTAGGTTTGGGTTGGCCCCATCAACTCAGAAGCTCGGGGTTCCGAAATAAATGCAAGGAAAATCCAGCAATCCTATCTAGTCCAAAGAGAACCAACTCCCTTCTCCTCCATTCACATGGGATGGATAACAGTTGCCTTTCAATTCAAAGCTCACATCCATCCCCTCTTCTGGTTTGGTGCCAAAGCTCATGCCTCATGCATTTTGAGTAACTCTGGAAATTTTGGTTCCCCTCAACTACTCGTACTTTTGGTCACCAACATGGCTTGTCGTCCTCCCCCATATCCTCAGTTAGATCATCTTACGACTCCAATTATTAAGAGGTGTTTGGTAGAATTTTT